ACATGGGCCAGTGAAGCGACATCCTCCACAACTAGACTGAAGAACACGAGACAGCAACTTGGCTGTTCCCCTTCCTCTGATTCCCCAGCACGGTTCCCCTCCCCCAATTCCCCAATAAAACCTTTTTTAAAAAAAAGAAATATCCCAGTCTTGTGAGCTTTCAAACTACTATAATGAAGGATTTTAAAGGCATGTTTCCACTGCTGAAGGCATTCAAAGAAATAGATCATCCTGCCCATAAAACAGATGAGTAAGATGAAGGCTACATCCAGTCTGGCAGTGAGAAGTTCCCTAGGCCTGCCACAGGACTGGCCCATTAATCACTAGGGGTAGGGGGAGATGCAGGGGGGAGGGGCAAGCACAGACAGAGAGAGAGAATGAGAGAATGACTAGGGGAAGAAAAAGCACATTCATGTAAACCCATGGTGGCAGTTATTTACACAAAGGTTTTTGCCACTCTAGCTTGAGGTTAAAGGGTCAGAAGACTAAAGTAAAAACAATTTCATATTTTTCTATTTGAAACTTGTCTTAAAATTAAAAATTCTGCCTCCTCTCTGAATTGGACCTATACAGAAACATACATAAACCTAAGAGACATTTTAATGTCTCAATTAAAGGTAATGAAATAAAAACTGAATTGGAAAAGGAGTTGAAACATCTGAAGTTCTATATGTAGGGAGTTTTAAGTCACCTGGGTTGGTCCTTTTAATGACACTTAAGTGTTCAACAGTACATTCAGTGAAGCATTATGCGTGAATAGAACATTTAGCAGGCTAACCCATCTTGGCAAGAATAACAGGCCATAACCCCTAAGGAAGTGTCTTTTAATCTTAATGGGCTGGGAGTTAACAAAAAGTAAATTACCACACTCCAAAATGAGAATATATTCTAAAGTTGCTGCGGCAAAAGATAAAATAGACAATTCTGGAGCAGCTCCAAGAAAATCTACCAGGAGTGCACTTATCATTCAAATGTGAGGCCCTGTTAGAAACGGAAGCCGTGGCTCTTCTTCCTGTGTATTTACTTGAATATAAAATGACTGAAAAACAGCTTCATGTGATGACCTGTGTACTTTTAGAAACACCTGACTCAGTGCCAGCCCCTCCTTTGGAAACTGTAACAACATTCCCAAGGATACAGCCCCCAAGGGTGCCTGGTCCATGAATAACAGTTCTCACTGTCAGGAGAGAGGCGGAAAACGCAGGTGGCAAAGCTGTCTTAATGAAGGATGTACTAAGAAAAGAAGTGGCACTTCAAAGGGCGTTGGAGTGGAAAGCAGAAGGGTGATCGAGGCAGCATATGAGCTGCCTGTGTGTCCCTGGAAAAGTTCCTTGCCCTCCCTGGGCTTCAATGATCCCATCCGAAAACCAGGAAGGTGGAAGTGAGGACCATACGATTCGCTCTACCTCCAACAGCCTAACTCCGGGGGCAAGGTTCTCAACCATCCAGGGAGGGGGCATCCAAAACTCCCGCAGTTGCATCTGTAAAGTGCAAAAGCACATTCCAAAATTACCACTGTTTTGATTTATTTTTAATCTTGATAATTTATTTTGGGAGCTGAAATATAATTAGTAAAGGGGATTTTTGTGAAGCAAAAGAGAGACATCTTAAAAGTTTAGAAATGCCTCTTGCAGTAAGAGCATGAGCTGTTGCTATGAATTATATTAAAATACCAAAAAATGGAGGATCCTGTAACTATACTTATTTCTTGGTTTAGTAAAAATTAAACAAACAGAAATTCTCATGGACACTCTGACAGTCATTTTGGGGACAGTGGAGTTAGTCTCCACAGGATATTACTAGATGATACCCAGACTGCACTGCGAACACTGCATGAACCCAGAGGCTGTTAGGGTGTCACCTGACACTGACTCAGGAGGTGCCCACAGGCTTCCAATCCAGGTATGCCCACGTGTACTCAGCATTAAAGGAAGACACAGCGCAGTGTCTTCCTCTCATCCTGGCCAAGTAGCTACCCCAGGACACAGCACACAAATGAAAGCAGAGTCAATAGGCAGAGACAGAGTGGATCCTAACGACAATGATCCGGCCATATCGAAGGCTAGCTCTACTATGGATTTTTCAGGCCCTGGGCCAATAAAACCCCATTTTGCTTAAACCAGATTGAATCAGATTATTTACTTTAAAATAGAAAGGTTCCTGGCTAATCTAATTGCCCAAGCAGACCTTATTTTGAAGATAAATTCAGTAAAGAGGCAGCCCCTCTACTTCACTGACCAATCTGATGTTTTCGTACATAATACGAATATACCACGTTAAATTTTTGCTTGGAAACTTGCAACTGAGGACATCTAAGCTCACTTTTTTCTTAGCCATGATAACGTGAGCAAACCAGAAAGATAAATAGGCTACGTAAGCTGGAACGGTGGCAATCTGAGCTCTAATCAGCTTGTCCTCAACATACGACGCTAGACTTCTGTTTTAGCACTGAAGCAGGCACAGTCTAAGCTGCTGATGCCAGTGAAAATCCACAGTGCAAAATGGGATTCTGGGAGCAACACACAACAGGGGCTGCCCGCTTGCTCCAGCACTTCTGCAGACAACAGCCAAACGTGCCAGCTCCCAGGCGGCAGTCAGAAGAAACTACAATTTAGTCGCCCATCCCTCTGCCACCCAGGCTGCAAGTGTCTGCAAAGAAAAACATGGGGCAAAAAGTGCCCCATCCCATAAACAAAGCATGGGTAAATGCTATGGAGGAGGAGAAACGAACAACCAGCGTTTTGGGTTGACTTTTTCTATTCAGGGCCAAGCACTGAGCATCTGTATTAATACTCTGTATATTTTCATTTGACACATGTCTGCTTGGGGCACCTCCTCTATATGGTTTCTGTCTCCCCAGCTACCGTGTGAGCCCCTTGAAGTCCTGGACCTTATCTTCCCAGAGCTAACACAGTGTCGGACACAAGTAGACCTCAAAAAATATCTGGTGGAAATTATCAAAATGCTAAACACGCAGCTATAATAGCAATGAGTTGATCATATAATGAATAATTCTGCTTTCCTTGCTTAAGATTAATAACAGTTACCATTTACTGAATAGCTCTACTGTGCCAAGTGATGTACTAAAAACTATTTACATAAATGATTTAGCTCATCTATGTAGACTGAGCTTATCCTAACCAGGAAGTGCAACTACTCTAAGAAGAGAGATCGTGCTTCTTCCTTACTCTTCCCACCACTGTCCTTACACAGAAATAGAACACATGCATGAAGGCTTAGGGTGAGGCATTCTAGCTCAACCGAAGGAATACTTGCAGAAGGCGCACAGTTGTTCTACAAAAGCAATGAGCTGTCTCTGGAAGAACTTATGAGCTGTTACTGGAGGCCACCAAGTAGAATTTCAAATAGCAGGGGCGTTACTGAGATGGTGCAAGCATTGGAGGAACTGCTGGTACAGACAACCAGAACTGGGAAAGTATCCTGGGCTCCCACCGTAAGCCTGCAAGTCTGGAGAAGTAGCTGCATTCCATGTGAGCAGTGCCTGTCTTTCCTTACTTATATATAAGCCTGGGCTACCCCCAAGATATGCTACACTTATGTCCCATCATCTTAAAATGCTTGTAACCTTTCTTCTTGAAAATATTAAAGAGTTGTGTTAATGTTGGCATTTGTTGGTATACAGATGCAGGACCCAAAGGGGGTAGATCTGTGTGTACCTTTGGTGCCTAAACATTAGCAAAGCAGGACTAGAAAACAAGGGAAGTTAAAGTAGCAAAGTAGATGCCCCCTCACTGCTATGAGCCCTGGACTCTGTCCCCATATGATTGATTTTGTATTTTCATGTTACATTGGAAAGGGACAGAAATTGGGAGAAGACCGCATAAAGCTGTGCTGGGGTTTCTTTGCCACCATTTAAGTCTCAATAAAAAATACATGCTCCTGAAACAGGCTCAGGGCACTGACTGCATCACCAAACAGTACCCTTAGCTCCTTCTGCTTTCAGCTCTTTGACTGCTTAATAATAATTAAACCTCCCAAGTGGCTGCTGGCCAGGGAGTACATGTGTGAAGAGAAAGCAAAGTGGGGGTGGGAACCTGAGAGACATTCAGAGTGGCTGGAGCTCAGACTATGAAGAGAGGGAGTAGAAACATGTGAAAAAATGAAAAATGGAAAATTGAGCAGGTCCAAATCAGGAAAAACCTTGTTAAGGAGCATTTACTTCAACCCAAGGGCAGCAGGGAGTCAATGAAACAGGGGAGAGAAGTGGTCAGATTCATGTTTTAAAAATCTTGTGTCAATTACTGTGTAGATAACGGATTAAGAGGGAGGCAAGGGTGCACAACGCAGGGAGGAAGAAGTTAGGAGGCTGTTCCCAAAACCAGACAAGAGAAGATGGCAGCATAGGCTGCAGCAGTAGCAGTGTGGCTGGACAGAGTAGACAGATTCACTACATGTTCAGTAGGTAAAGTCATCAGGACTTGGCAATAGACCACACATGGGGCATCAGAGAAAGAGAGGGGCCGAGGGTGACCTTGAGACTTCTGCCTTATGGGACCATGCACTAAGAGAGACACATGACAGCAGGAGTCGAGGGGAACGTGATTCCATTTGGAGCATGTGTTTGAGATGCCCACGTGACATCCAAGTACAGATGTCCAGAAGGTAACAGCCAGGTCTGAATTGGAAATATAAATGCTTATTAGCATTAATAGTAATGCAGACCAAAATCAAAACCATGGGAAATGAAAAATTATTCAGGGAAAATGCATAATTCAACCCACAAGGTTAGGAAAAGAGTCTGTGAAAAGACAACAAGACCTTACTACCTTACTATACAGGTGACACGTCACAGCTTCCAGAAGGCATCCATCCTAAGCCAGATAATATGGGTGTCTTGGAATACGAAGGAAATACAAACTTATCTCTACAGGGAAAGTGACCCCACTAACCCAAACATAACAAGTGCTCAGAGGTCTAATACCCGCCTCATCCCAGTCTGGCAGCATCCTAAGATGTCAATTCTGATAACACATGCTCACCTGTTGACAAGGCCTCCTCCCGAGCCTCATCCTCACCAGGCTGATGAATATTCCAGGACGTTTTGGGAAGTGAGGAAATTTCCTCAGGTGATGTTAATTTCACCATATCCATGTGATTGCTCTGGAACTGGTACCGTGGGATGAAGCAGGTTTTGCCTCGTTGAAAAATGTCTTTGATGATCTCTTCTGTCTCAATTTCATCTTGCATGCTCAGAAAGATGGAAATTCTTTTGGACTTTTGGTACTGACTGTGGGCAATCACCTAAATGGGAAATGACGGCAATTATATTTTTCAAGATTATACTTTTAAAAATTAGTGACTTAACACATCTAACACTTTCTCCCTTCTTTCCCACCTTTCTCCAACTTCTTTATCCGAAGACAAAAACAGCAGAGTGGTACAGTGGATCAGACAACGTAGCATCCTGAAGCCTAACTTTTGGTTCTGAACCCAACACTTACTTTTCTGGCCCCTTTATACTTCTCTGGCACACCCACTTTTGTAGGTGTGAAAACTCATTATAAAGTCGCTGTGGGGCCCTGCTTTCTGTTTAGAGAATTCCAGGCTTAACCTCCATCTACCCATTCTAGCAGTCTTCAATTCATCACAAACACTTCCCCTGGAGTTTTTGCATTATTTTAACTCTGAACCATGGCTCCCACAAGCTTATTTACTCCTTGGATTATCAGGTTTCTCTCCTAAATTCTACCCATCTAAGCCGAACTCAAGCCTTAACTTTTTCTGACTTTTCCAGAACCCATACATTTAGAGTTAATATACAACTTAACATTCCTGTATTGTCAGGAGTTGATTACTGTTTCATGTGCCCTAAATGTAGTATTCTAACCAGTCTGTAAGCTCCCAGGAGGCAGAGAATATGCCTTATAATTCTCTTAGCTCGACTCACCTCTGTCCTATTTTCTAAAACTCTTTTGTTCAAATGAATGTTGAAATGTTCACAAGGATGAAGGTGGGGGGGATCTTGGAGAGGCAAAGTCCTCTAAAAGCAAGTGCCAAGTTTATGAGAAGGTAGACCTGGGTGAAAGAATCCCTTTGTATTTATTCAGTTTAATCATTCATCAGGCAAGAGAAGGAAGCTGAGCTTTGCTTAACAGAGAAAAGTTAATCTCATAACTTCCCCAGACTCAGAAGCTGGCTTTTAGCTACCCTTTTCCCCCTTCCTTTTCCTGTTTTCCCCTGTTCTGCAAGCTCAAGAGGAAAAGATAGTGCAAAAGTGGCTTGTAAATATGACTGGCAGAAAGATACAGGTTTAGAAAGTCAAGTTTTCCTAAGAAAAAGGGACACATAGAAATTAAGGAAGTAGGGTACACAAAACCAGTGTTAAGGAAGAAAATTAACTCCATCTTCTAAGGAGTTACAAAGCTGTTAGGCCTGGCAAATGTAAATGTGAAACCCAGACCTTCGGGCAGATCTGGTGCTTTTGGCCCCCAAGTACTATCTGAGGATACTAAGTGTTTTCTTTAAAGCAGAATATAGAAAATCAAGAAGCTGAATAAGCGGTAATAAACATCAGTTAAAATTCAGTGTGAAAATGTGCATACATTTATCTTCTTTCCCAAATTTCATTTATGTGACAGTAAAGAAGCACAAAAAAGAAAACCATTATGTCACTGACAGCAAGAGAATAGAGATTTAACTAATTTATATAAGACAGAGAATGGATGAGACAGTATTTACTGAGAAAACAGCAGCAGATCACAGCACTCAGAGAACATGATGTATGTAGGTCAGGCAGAACCATTCCCCTTATGGAATCCCAAAGTGACTAAAAAAGGCAAAAGAAATACCCATTAACTATCACACCTCCATTCATGTACAGACAATATTCATCAAACATTTTAGAAAGCCAAA